ATATATATATATATATATATATATATACCGAATAAAGAACTGAAATATTACACACACACACAGAATAGCCCCCCAGTGGTACAGCGGTATGTCTGCAGATTTACAACGCTAGAATCCGGGTTTCGATACCCGTGGTGGGCAGAGCACAGATAGCCCTTGTGTAGCTTTGTGTTTAATTACAAACAAACAAACAAACAAACACACAGAATAATTCAGCGCCATCTAAAGTCATGCAATGTAAACCACTTACCAGCTATTTTACTTCACAAATTTTGGGATAGAGGTGCTTTTAAGATTTAAGCTGTTAATGTTTGTCAACATATTTGCTTGTTATCAAAGCAGCGGAAGAAATATTTCCTATTTAAATAGTTTAACATCAAAGAAAGTTTTTGGGCTATTTTTAATCGCCAAACGTCTAATTTTTTTTATTATCTTCGGGTTCACCAAATTCATAAGGTACATTTGAGAATTAATCTGTCTACACGTCAAGCAAAAATCGACGGTTTATGAAACCACGCCATATAATTTTCTTGATTTTCTAAAGAAAACTTTTTGTCACTTTTAAAAATATAATTATGTCTTAGATTTTTCTATATCTACATACATACACACGTTTATTTGTATAAATATATAAATATAAAATCTCATGCTAAGAAGAAAATGAGCAGAAATATTTTCTCACGTTCATGAAAGTGGCTCGCATTAGGTTGTTAGGAAAAGCATTTCTGCAAAAGAAGAGAAAAAATAATTTTTAAACGTCAAAAAATAAAATAAAATGTAGAGAGCAATGATAAATTAAAAATTATAAAAATTACAGAAAGTTAAACCAGCGTATATGAACGATTTTCGTATGTAAACACAATGGCATATTGCCACAAATGCTATCCGTGGTACTACTAAACAAGTGTAGGACTTACATACGTGGTTCACGACAAATTTTCGACCATTTGGCATTGGAATGACGCAATAGATAGACATACGTTTAGATAAATATGCTACAGACCATTCTATATAAAGGATATTCGTATAGCGAAAATTTTAAACGTCGTACAACAAATAAAAAAACAAGAATAATAAAACACAATATTTTAACGTTATCAATGGAAGCGAAAAAGTCGCACAGCAAAGGGTTTTGAATAGCAAGTATATCTTCACTCACACTCCAAGCTAATTCAAAGCAATGTCTTCACTTCTAAAGTGCAGATTACGGCTGCAAGGGAGAACTTTCCAACCTATGATACAACAATGGTGAAGCTGTAAATATTTCCTGATACCTTTAACGAGATAGTAAACAATATCGTAAGTAATGTTAGGTTCAAATGCTTGAAGACCCACCTCAACATCAACGGCTTTTTTTCGCGGAAAAAAAGAAGGTTAAAGAAACTATAGTAACTAAAATTCAACTAGACTAATACTTATTAAATTCCTCAGTGCTTTTTGGCAGGCCGAGCATGGCCTATTGTTTGCGACCCGTCACCACAAAAAAGAAACAAAAAATCGCTCTCTGCACTTTGCAGCCACTGATACGTTTTAAAGGTATCGCCATTCTTTTTTTGTGTGTGTGTGTGTGTGTGAAACAAAAGTAGCCTAAGAATGGGTGAGGGGTGTTGTTGGTCAACTGCCTTCCCTTAAGTCTATCAGCTCAAAATTATGGACGGTTAGTGCAAAAGCCCTTGGGTGGCTTTCCGCGAATATCTCACAACAACCAAACAAACTGATTTTTTTATCCACTCATATTGGAAGGTCCGTGGAAGTTTGTTAACATTTGTTGTCCAAAAATGGTCTTCTTCGCAAAAGCATGTTACATTGGATGTTACCATGTCGAGAAATGGTTCATAATCATGGCTAGCTGACAACTAGAAGATAGTTACATAGGTAGCAAGGGATCTGAAAATCGTCCTCATAAAATGAAATTAATGCTCAGAAATGCAATTGGTAATGATATACTGAAGTACAAAAAGGCTTTCGAAAATATAGAAAACGTAAATCAAACTGAATTTCTATTTAAGGGTATGATTCACCCAGCTCCATTAATAATCTCTGGCTTAAGAGGGCAGCAATGCAGCAATAATTCATTTAAATTCCCCCTCTGACTAGTAATTTGATTTGTTTAGAAACGAAAAGTGGGTGGAGTTTCCAGAAGCCATCCTCCAATGAAAATCTGGTGTATTGTGACCAATGAAATCCAGTTCTGGGTCAAACCACACAAGGGCACTTCCATAATTGGCCACTAAAAAATTTAGAAGATATTATTTTTTATAATTATTTTTTGTTTTAGATGTTGATTTAGAATCTCAAACGATAGTTCTTTGCCCTTTTTGTAATTTGGAATGACTCTTCTACTAATATGGTGAGAGATGGTTATATTGAATTACAGTTTATGTCTTAAACTTGAGAATCATCATTCAGTTTTAAATTCGGAAATATTTTATCATATAAATCATGAGTGAAGATTTTTTCAACAGTGATATAATAAGTGTAGCAAAGAAAATTCTTTTGCCAACGTGTTAGAATTATTGCAACTGAAGAGACTGTGAAATATAAACATGAATTATAAAATTCATACTAAGAGCGGAACTTAAAATATTATGATGATATGCGACTTTTGCATTACTCTATGTATATATTTATCAGTATAAGTTATTTAAGCTCATAAAACTAACTACTAGTCTTATTTATGAAGCTTTCATTTTGATGAACAATATTTAGATTATTAGGAGTAATGCGTGATTTGTGACATTGTGATATTTATCCTCAAGGTTTTTAGTGTCATGGAAGAAGTGTCTTTTTAGAGCATTTTTAAATTCTGACATAATATACTTTACGATATTACAATTATACTAATTTTTTGCAGTTAATTATTAATTAAGCTTTCTACAATGCTTACCGGAACAAATCAATCACAGAATCCAAAATTTGATCGTCATTGTTGGATCGGTACTGCTCACCACCATTTTCTTCCGAAGAGATACTTAGTTTTCCAGGATGGATGAGAAAAGCTAGAACGATACCTAAAACAGCACAGAACAAAGCAATCCCGAAGAAGAAGCTAATTGTAAGACCAACCAATCTTCCATTGTCACCCTTACCAAGAGATGAAATACCTGAAAAGAACCGTCTCATTTGTACAGCTTGATTATATAGAAAGACTCCAAGAAAAAGCTACAAGAATTCATTTGTGGAGCATAAGTCTACCTAATAATGGCTGGAGACGGCTTGAATGGGTAATGAAGAAAAACTTTAATATAAGTTTAACATAACAACAAATGTGCAACTGTACGACAAGGTTTTGTCATCATCATGTACAGTTGCACATTTGTTGTTATGTTAAACTTATATTAATGTTTTTCTTCATTACCCATTCAAGCCGTCTCCAGCCATTATTAGTCTCAAAGTGGGTTCCTCGTCATTGATTAAGTTTACCTAATTAAACCTCTGCATGCAGCG